GACCGTATTGAATTCTCAGACTTTGCGGGGTATACAAACATATCAATTACAGCAGAAGTTGAGGTGTAACGTTAAGAGACTGGAAGACAGCTAGTAGAGTGGATAAGGGGACAGGTATATAGGGGTAGCGGATTTATAATTACCGGAGCTCGAGACGAAGACACAGTTGATGTCAAGAGGAAGAAATGTATCTGAGTGGGCCACATAATGCGTAGGGCAGATAACTGATGGACAGTTGGAGTATGCTAAAAATGGCCAACAAGGGATGGGGAACGCAGCCGGTGAAGGCAGCGAGTTATATTGAGGGACGACACGAAGAGGTTCGCGGATATAAACTCTAATCAGCGTAGACAAGATGCAGTGAACTTGAAATCATTGGGCGAGAATTTCGTCCTGCAGCAGATCTAAACGAAATTGAAACGATGATGATGATGATCGCTTGTCAATATATGAAGTATACCAGCCGGCATGCACGCTTGGGCGATGTCACAGTGCATCAGTGACCGTCCTTGCACTATCCGAGCTCGACGCCGAGGCCCAAGGCCGCCGCGAACCAGAGCCGCCTAGCACAGCCACGCTTGAGCGCGGCGCCCGGCCGGGTCGGTTTTTCCCGGGCTCTGGGTCAGAGCTTCGGCTGCGCTGCTTGGCCATGCGGGTCAGCCGACGGCCTTGCAGGCGCGCGGCCCTGGGCGCACCGAGGACGCTCACCTGCACACGGTTTGTGTGTCAGCTGGCGCGACATATATACTCGTGGGGTCGCTTCGAATCACTTAATTCGGTCACTTGTTCAGCACACCGAACACGTACCGCCGTATATACTCGGGACCTTGCGTGGTAGATCAAATAAAACGTAGGTGAATTTATATTTCGGCATGTAAAACTCGTTCCAGATAACGGCGATCTGTTGTGCTGCAATGACGAAATTACTGCGTGATGGTCGTTAGCTAAGGTTAGTTCGATTATATGCTTACAGGCTCGTAATGGGAGGACACCACGGGAACAGCTACCTGAATTACCTTTGCTGCTAATCTTCCGGCGTTGTTGATTCTAACCTTGTGGGCCGTCAAGTTGGCGTATACATTTCCTATATTTTACGCCCTGGACCAAGCGTCAAGACGGGGATGTTTGCCAAGTGATAGGTAGATTAAAATTGGTAAAAATGGAATACATTATTCTCTGAGGGTGCCGTAGACGTAACCATCCAATTTTTAGGAAGTTTTGTTTGGCTAATGTTGTCAGAATACCAAAAATAGGCTGAAATTCGCCAATTCATGGGCGGAGATCTTGGCGCGAAGTTTAAACATGAATCTTTGACCTTGATTCGCTCCTGTATTAATCCTTTGTGTGTTGATTTATGTTTTTCGCAGGGTAACGAAAGATATGCCTGTGTGATCTCCAAATAACGTACTTCGAAATAGTATGACGCCATTTTCACAAACTACTGTCATTAGTTTAGGAGAGGAAAAAAAAAAAGAGGGACGTGCCATTGCCCTGCCGCGGTGGTCTAGGGGCTAAAGTACTCGGCTGCTGAGCCGCAGGTCGCGGGATTGAATCCCGGTTGTGGCGGCCGCATTTTCGATGAAGGCGAAAATGCTGTATACGCCCGTGCGCTCCAATTTGGGTGCACGTTAAACAAGCCCAGGTGGTCGAAATTTCCGGAGCCCTCCACTATACGGCGTCTCTCATAATCATATGGTGGTTTTGGGACGTTAAACCCCACATAGCAATCACTAGAAAAAGAGGCGTCAGTTGTGATCATGAAATCGGTACGAAAGTAGCGTCGTTTGTAATGCTCAAATATGGGATTAATGCCTAGCATCCAATTCTGCGAGGAGGTGGAATGCCGGAAGGGCCCGTACTGTGCGTTTTCAGTGTACGTTAAAGAACCCCCAAGTGGTCGAAATTATTCGGAGCCCTCCGCAGCCACTTCGGTACGTTAATTCCAAAAAGCGACCATACTTCATGAGTGCAAGAGCGTGTCACTGTATGCGTTGTATGCTTCATTATAATTGTTTAATATTATTGTTTAAGAGGTCCGGAGCCTGCATTATATTGTTTTGCGGTCACACACTTTTACCATATTGCACTGCCTACTATGAAGGACTGAATGTATATGCTTCAAAAGGGCATTAACCCTGCTGCAAGAGCCTCTACAGAAGTCGTTTGGCTGTTCCACCCGGTCCTTAAAACTTAATCATGTCTGGTGTATGTGCCTGTTTTTACTGCGGCCCCGCCGTGGTGCTCTAGTGGCTAACGTACTCGGCTGCTGACCCGGAGGTCGCGGGTTCGAATTCCGGCTGCGGCGGCTGCATTTCCGATGGAGGCGGAAATGTTGTAGGCCCGTGTGCTCAGATTTGGGTGCACGTTAAAGAACCCCAGGTGGTCTAAATTTCCGGAGCCCTCCACTACGGCGTCTCTCATAATCATATGGTAGTTTTGGGACGTTAAACCCTACATATCAATCAATCAATGTTTTTACTGCGGTGGTTTATGGGGCGCGAATTGTGGACTCTGCCAGGAGAAACGAAAAAGAAAAGGATTTAGTATATCAAGCTAAGGTGCTGGCCTGGCATAGTCTTCTGGATTCTGTGGATTGCGAAATCGAATTAATTTTTTGGTAATAAGTTAGATTAAAGCCGAATACTTTTCTTGAAGCAAAGGTAAGACTACGGCTTTCCTATGTTTGTCGTCTCATATGTGGCACTTGTTTTCAAGCGGAGTGTTAAAGAAGCCAAGCTGGCGGACTGGTCTGCTAGTGTTGCGGCCCCTTGGGCCCCAACCTAGCCCCGTCAAACTTGGTTTCCCCCGCTTCCCCTCCCCTTTCTGAATAATAAAGTTTATTCCTCCAGAACCCCAGATGGTGAAAATTACCGGAGCCCTTCACCATGGTAGGCCTCGTATTCATACCGGGGTACTGGGACATTATTATTATTATTATTATTATTATTATTATTATTATTATTATTATTATTATCAAGCGGATGACAAAGGGCGGTTGCCAGTGGAGGAGATGGTTAAATTTCACTCGTCAGGCCTCGAGGAAGTGACTGTGTGCTTGCAAGAACTTGTGTTCAGCAAATCTCTCTCACGTTCATGCACTTTGTGCCGACCTGTTCTGATTGAGCTTTTTTTTTCCTGTGCCTCTGAGAGTTTTCACCTCTGTTACGTCCATGCATCGCAATATTTCACGACGTATATCCAACGCTCACGAGGTCACGATGCAGTCGCGAGCCTGTCGATGGCGGAACAAAATAGTGGTTGTGTAGGCCCTTTCAACACTACACATCGGCCAGGAACAGCTATGAGCATGGGTTAACTAAACTTGTGAAACTCACTCACTCACTCACTCATGCAATATAATTTACACTTTGGACTCACTCGGACTTAGACTCACCGAAATTTTCCTGACCATAACTCACTTGGACTCACGCTCACTAAACTTTTCTTCAGCCGCACTCATTCGGGCTCACACTCACGGCTGGATCAATGAGTGAGTTCGCCGACATATATGGCTATGAGCCGTCAGCTATAGCTTTTGCACCTTTTCATGTGTACCAACTGGCGCCAATGTAATTTGTGAGGGTATGTGCCCACATGTAATGCAATGCATGTTCGTAGCAAGGTGATGTGATCATTGGAGGTTACTGTCGCCCCGCCGCGGTGGTCTAGTGGCTAAGGTACTCGGCTGCTGACTCGCAGGTCGCGGGTTCGAATCCCTGCTGCGGCGGCTGCATTTCCGATGGAGGTGGAAATGTTTGTGGGCCCGTGTGCTCAGATTTGGGTGCACGTTAAAGAACCCCAGGTGGTTGAAATTTCCGGAGCCCTTCACTACGGCGTCTCTCATAATCATATGGTGGTTTTGGGACGTCAAACCCCGCATATCAATCAATCAATCGATTACTGTCGCTACCGTTTCTTGGGGTAATTTGCTTGTCATGGTGATGTGGAAGGATCACTGAGAATGGCTACTTATTTAATGGCTGTTTCTTTTTGCCTACCACGACGCCGTTCGCTTGTGTGTCGCGATATTTGCATGAAGAATTTTCTCTTTTTTTTTCCAATTTCTAACCAACCAATGCGTCGATTCTCTTGGTAGTTAATACTGCGGCGTGACAAGTCAATTTACAGTATGACGCTTCCGCATGCTAAAACATTTAATCTAGGCGATGGAGATTGTTAAAAGACGATGTGTCCTGTCTTGTATCTTGACTTACCTCACATCCACGTGAAATGAGCGTTGCACGACTACTCTTTGCCGGGTCGCTTGCGCGCTCGATTTGTACCGCGGCGTATATCGGATTCCCTCATTGGCAGTCGTCGCGTCGTCAGTCTGGTGCGACTGCTTTCGAAACTGGCGTGTCCCCTTTGTTCGGGACTTTGCATCCCGCATTGTCGCAGCTTCTGCTTACGTATACACTGAGCAGCGCGTCACACACTACCGGCGTGACACGCAAACTGTATTGTTTCACGCATGGAGAGGCTTGCAACGGGAATTGACCCGGCGAGTGCGCTCGGCTTGCTCGTCGCTGTCTGCCTGCGCCTGATCACATAGGCATGTCAGGGCGTCTCGGAAACAGGCGCGCCGTTGTCGCTATGTATCCTCGCGTGGCCAGTTCCTTTTCGCTGGTGTAGCAGATATGTTCCATCGTGCGTTTGTTTCCCCTTTTATCTTTTACTACAGCTGTTACGGATGATGCAATTAGTACAGTTGAATTAAGCTTTTATGGCATCACATTTTTTTTTCTTACACGCGTTTTCTGTGATTAATGGTTTCTTTGTCACTTTATGATGAGAAGTTGGTGTATGCTTGTGTACATTTGTTTTCAGGCTTATATAGCTGTCTAGTCGCACATTCAGTCATAGTATACGTAGGTACTTACCTATATTGAAACATATAAGCGCATTTAGCGTTGTGCATTGAAATCCATTTTTGTTGTTGTTGTTAATGACCGTACACACGAGCTTTCAAATAATTCCTGTCTTTTTTTTCCTCGTTGCAGAAGAGTTCGTCGCTCACGGCTCGACAGTGAAATGCCTCGCTATTGGCCACAAATCTGGCCGCGTCATGGTCACCGGTGGCGAGGACAACAAGGTCAACTTGTGGGCCATTGGCAAGACCAACTGCATCATGGTAAGTTATCTCTGGAAGCGACTTGGGTTACGTGTTGAGCAAATACCGAGACAGGTGTACGCGTTGCCGGACCTGTCTTGAGTGTTTGTGAAGACGTATACCGTCCTCATTTGAAACGATGCAGCTGCGCGCTCTTTGGATGATGTATCGGTGTGTTTTGGCGCGCAGCGACGGCGAGGTGTAGCCCCTCTGCAGGGCATTGGTGGATAACGACTGTCGATGGGTTCACATCCGCGGCGCTCCGGCACGTTTGTTTCGGGGCCGAGTGGCTGCTTGTCCCTTGGTGGCCCCGTTTCCTTCTCGTGCCGGGCTGCCTACCCGATTGAATGTGGCGCCTCATCGGTTACCGTGCGCTGGCTATTTTCTGCAACGCTGCAGTTTTGGGCGCAATTCAGCGCTCACGTCTCGGTGCGCAGTCCGAAAATTTGGAGGCCGCGTGTGTGCGCACACACCGAATTCGTTCTTTTGTGTGCGGCCGGAGGACGCGGCCGAGCCGAGGAAATGTGGCCCTCGTCTTTTGGGCTTCGTGGCCAAACAATGTGTTGCGCGTGTGCGAAGTGTGGCTGAGAGCAGGGGCTCCATAACAGTTTCCTCGGAGCGGTCCCAGAGCAGGTCTTTGATCAGCGGAGCGCGCAGTGGCGCCCGAGTTCTGCGCGTTTCTCTCTTTTTTTTTTTTTCCAATTCTCGTCCAGCTCAGCGATGCGCGGCGCAACCGCACCGTTTTGTGGGCCTTCGCATTACGCGGTGGTTACGCCGCACTGCTATAGGTCGAACGAGCTTTGCCGGCTCGATTCCCGGCTCGACCCCGCGCGCCACAGCGAAGGTCGCGTGCCGCGAACGAGCAGCAGCTGCGTTTGGTTCCGCGGGCGAAAGCACGGACCCCCCTCGTGTTTCGGTTGGCGAGTCTCTGCCCGCGTGTAAGGCAGCGAATTTAACCAAACTTATCCGGCATCGTTGCAGACTCGGTGCCGTTCTGACATTCATAACCCCTTTGTCGCTTGGTCGACTTACTTTTAGAGGAAAGTGAAAATTGGCAGCAGCAAGCACAGGACCGGGTTAACTGGCGGAACATGGGAGAGGCCTTTGTCCTGCAGTGGACGTAGTCAGGCTGATGATGATGATGATGATGATGATGATGATGATGATGATGATGATGAAAAGATGATGAGCTTGTGCTGCGCCTTGTTGCATTTATGTACGCATGGAGCCGAGCTAAGTGGAGCCTTTTGAGCAGGAATGTTACCAACACAGTTGAGTGTGCATTTCCTCCAGGACTGTTCTTTACGGAGGCGCAGTCGTATCTTGTATACGTGGGTTACTACTATTATTTTTGATTGGCGGCATTTTTAAGGACTGATCTCCCAGGTGCTTAACAGGTGCAGTCCAACCAAAACATCCGTGTTTCGTATAAAACAATTCCATTGCGATATCGTACTTACCGCTCAAGACTTGTGTATGTCCTCATCTGAGCGTTGCAGGTGTGCAGGTTGACGACTTTCTTCCGTTTAGGAAACTGTGCAGTGAAACGATAGACGAGACTTGAATGTAGCCAGTGCAAGTGATGTACGAAATGAAGAGCGGACCTCAGCATTGTAATACTTTTCCAAGTCTGTTTCTCCTGCATGTTTCGTCTTTCGCATGCAAACGGGAGTTAATTCTTGAACCATCTCCTGGACCGAACTACTCTGATCGACGCGACCGCCACTGTGTACAGTGTCATAGCGATGTGCGACAGTCACGCAGACACTGTGATACGTGTTTCGAGTTACGAGTCTCCGTGCCCTGCCGTCCTTCCTGATGGTCACGCAATCGCATGAAAACATTTCGCAAGGATTACAGACTTGCATAATTGTAATATCTATGCGCACCTTGAGTTGGTTGGTTGACCCTTATTAACTTGGCGCAACCCACCATGGGATATACCGGCCACGAAACGAACGGGGTCTTGTTTTGTAATTTTTTTATTTTATAATCTCAAAATGTTTAGCAATAGATAGTTTTGAAGTAACTCATCAGTTTAATTCACTAGAAAAATAGAAAAACGACTAATGTTTTTGAATAATAGGCTTGATTTTGATAACCAGTATTCAGTTCGTTTCGTCTCTCGTAGAAAATTGCAAACGACTTCGCAAACGCCCGTGTGGCTAATTAAAACCCAACACGGTAGCCCCAAAAGAAGTTACCGCCGGAAGTGATAAATTTAATGCCATTCTTCGGAGAGGTTCATCAATAAGTCTTTTTTCTTCGATTGGTAAATAATCTGCTTGTTGAAAATTCGTAGTCGGGTGCTTTTTTTTTTTCTTTCTTTTGTAGATTTAGCAGGGCGTGTGTATGTGCTTAGGCATCTGATCTGGTTCAAATTCCAGTCTTTATTGACTTGTGTTGTTTAGTTCCGTGTAATCGGGTTGTTTATCTTTCCTGTCATACGTCTTAATTACGGTAACCTTCCTTTGTGCTTGCTTACATAGTTTTAGTTGCACATACAAGAGCTCCGTCTGCACCTTTATATCAAATAATCTATACGGTACCGATTGGGCAGCTGACACCGTGGAACTGGTTAATCTGGATGCATGTTTGAAGGAGCGTGAAATGTGGTCCAGCCGGCCCACGCCTCCTTGTTAGTTTCGTGTTCGTTCGAGTATACTATGATGTCTACGTTCACCGCAAATCCCACTACGGCGTGGCTCGTAAGATTATGGTGGTTATCGCACGCAAACCTTGGAACTTTTTTTTCAGCCTTTTAAACCGCTGGCGTTACAAACCGTGGAAATGGATTGACGTTATATACATTTGTTTTCTTTTCGGTAAAGATTGTTCCGTTAAAGTGGTCGGGACGTTAAAGGACACACATCAAAGAAAGCCTGCGATGGCCTGACCGTGTATACAGTAAGTGACCCATACGAAAAGCTGAAGTTCCCCGCGGTGTTGTTGGGTAACGCGTGGCGTGCCGCGATTCTATCGCGAGTGCTGCCGTTTTCATCGATGACACGCGGCGGTCGGTGCGCCCCAGCAGGCCCCGTTGACGCGGAGATCAGTGAAGTGATCGCGTGAAGGCAAGCTGTGGAAGGGCGCAGCAGCCGCCGTGTGCCCAGCGCCGAGTTCGACGACCTCAAGCCCCCCCCCCCCCCCCCCCCCCCCAACTTTTCTGCTTGTCGCCAGCCGGACGGACCCGGAAGTGCGGCTCGCTTTCAGGTGGCTCGAAGGGGGTGCTCTCCGCCGCCGTCTGGCCGACCGCGTGGAGGGCCTCGCTGAATGGCCGCGTGGCTTGATTCATGTCCATCTCTTCCCCCCCTCTCCTCCTCTCAGACTGCCCTACCGAGAGTTGACGCCGATTGGAGCCTCTGGCGAGCTACGAGTCTGGCCATGTACGTTTTGAAACTAACGGTAGCTCGCTACAGGCTCTGAGAACGGCACGAAGACTATACCTGTCGAAAAAGAGTGCGCTGTCGTGTTTGTCGCGTTTTATATATAAAACATCCATGGATACTGACGACGGCGCAGTGGGGGTTCGACCGCTTAGCGGTTTGTGCGGACTCTTACTGTCGGGTACGTAGTGACGGGGTTATGCGAATGTGGCTGTTCGCGTCACGACGTATGTTGTGATCAGGTCCTTGTCCGTGTCATCGTTACAGCAGTCCAGTTTAGTTGACGCGCTTAACTCGTCTGTATCCACAGGCGCATGTTGTTGCAGGCACTGGAAAGAGCTGTTAGACGTGCACTGCAGAATGTTTTTTTTTTAGACGGTAGAGGGAGGGGGTTGAAAAAAAATGAGAAAAAGAGAGCGTGGTAAATATAATAATGATATATAATTTCAATAATTCTAGATTTTGATAAATACTCCCACATTTGAAGCAGTCAACTTCCGTACGAAGATAAGTTCTTACTATCCCACCTGTGCGGCCGCCGAACACGTTTCAGCGTTTCTTCAAAACGGAGGTTCTGACGTTGCACAAGGCATCGTCTCATGCTGTCGTGTGACGTCGCTAGCGGTTCGCTGAAAACGATTCGCGCACCATTCATCACTGTTACTTGCAAAAAGTCTCGCTTCGAAACTCGCTTCGAAAGCCTGTTTGGGAAAAGAATATGGATTCTAAACGGTTCCTTACATTTCTCGAATATATGTTATTTAGGTTTGCACCAAGTATATAATCCTACCAAGCGGGGCCATTTGCGGGCTCGATTCGGACACACATGCCCGGGGTCCTGGACACACCGCATTGGAGCAAGGCTGCCTGGTGTCGGAGTGTGCGCCTACTGAACGTGCATTGAAAGGAAAAATATATAGGTGGGACCGTAAGGGACAAGAAGAGAGCACAGTCGATCAGGAAAAAAAAAAAAAAACAGGTGTGAAGAACATTTTAGTGGAAATACGAAGAAATGGGCATGAGCAGGGCTTGCAGCGTGAAGGCATGGTAACCACTGGTCAGTGTGAGTAACAGAATGGATTTCCAGGAACGCGCCATGGGGGAGGCAGAAAGTTAGGTGGGCCGATGAGATGCAGTTTGAGGAGATAACGCGGCCGCAGCGAATACAGGACCGGGTTGACTTGCAAAACACGGGGAGAGGCCACTGCCCTGAAGTGGGCATAGTCAGGCAGCAGCAGCTGCTGCTGCTGATGATGATGATTATGATGACCGCATATAACACGCTTCACGGTACTAAGGGCGTATGTTCGGACATGGCGTCGAGGGGCGCCATCTAGTAGAGTGAACTGTGCGGTCTAATATGTAGGCAATCAACGTGGCACTAAGGGCTTCACTTTCACCTTCGCTGTCACCGCCCTCGTGAGATCCCGTGAGTGGTGTCCACAGAGACGCCGTAAGCTCCCTGGCGCGTTACATACAGCGTTGACATTCTGTATAGGTAGAGATTTCTTGGTTGATGTGCGGGCGTTGCTTGTCGGTGCCGATACACTTGACCGCGGGATCAACTACACTGAACAGCGGCGTCACCAGTGCGCTTGGCTGAGAGCTTGCGTCAGAGTTGTCGGTGGTGTAGAT